AAACAAAACTTTAGACTCACCAAGATAAGATAATTATTTTCTCTAATTTTGCCAAATATAAATAGGTTAGTATTACTGTAATTCTTACTGAATTATTGTTTTTGTTGTATATAATCTTACTATGTTAAAGTCAAAACCTTACTTTTTAACTAGACAAAAAGGGTAAAATGCCATGTAATAATCCTCTTGTACACTGAAAAGATTTGTCACTGGAATTAGTTTAATAAAAAACTGATTGGCCAGGAGCCAGGCAGAAAGTATAGGTGGGGAAACCAGACAAGGAGAATTCTGGGAAGAGGAAGGGCAGAGGAAGGAGTCACCAAGCCAGATGCAGAGGGAGCAAGATAAGATGTTATACTGAGAAAAGGTACCAAGCCATATGGCTAAACATGGATAGGAATTATGGGTTAAGTGTAAGAGCTAGTTAGTAATAAGCCTGAGCTACTGGCTGAGCATTTATAATTAATATAAGCCTCTGTGTGGTAATTTGGGAAGCAGCTACTGAGAATTTGTGAGTTGCTGGCAGGACAGACTACACTCCATCTGGCATCTGTAAATTTTTTATTTAGTGAGGTTTGGCATGTTAGAATAGGGATCCTTTAGTTTCTGTGGGTTGTTTGTTTGTAAACAGGGTCTCATTATGTACAGGCTGCTCTAGAACAGGTAGCATTCCTCTGGCCTCAGCCTCTCAAGTGTTGAGATTACAGGAGTAATGGCATAGGTGTTTGTACGTTTCAGTTCACCTTGCTTATACAATGAAATTTTTCTGGCCTTCAGGTTCTTGATTAGAAATTAACTGGAGGATTTTATTGTTTTTTATTAAAAAAACATTTTCTGAGTATGAATCTATGTGCCAGGTATACAAGCACCAAGGCACAGAACACGGTTTTTTTGTTCTGTTCATTCAGAGTGAATTGACAAGGAGAAAGAAACTGAAGTTACAAAGGCTAGTTGAAGGAAAGTCACCGATTGATCACTCTTAAAAGATCACAGTAGTACTTTTGTACTTTCAATACATTCTACTAGGCAAGAACAAGAACTTTAAAATAAGATGGAAAGGATAGAGTTATTCAAGACATAGTGTGTCAAACATGTATTAGAAAAACTCACAAAGAGCATTAGATTTCTGTGGCCATAGGCAAAGAATTAGCATTCACGGAATGCAAACCGATTTGACCTCTTACATGCCTATTAAAATCCAAAAGAACGCTTAACACTTTCAAGGAGGGTCTCAAAGTGAACTAAAACAGATAGTGCTGCAGTTATCACATTCGGGGCGCAAGACTCGTCAGATACATCCAAGCTAAAACAAGCTACAGGGCTAATAACCGGGAAAGCGTCTTTCCAACTAGCACCTCTCGGACGGTCGAACCGTCCGTCTCTGAGCTTGGATGAACCTCACCCGTCCGCAGACTTCCGTGTCTGACCACGGGACAACAATCCTTTTTATTTTTAGGTAACCTCCTCCACGACAGCGCAATCCTCTTTCCAGACCTTCCAATCGGCCCTTTGCCAGACAGCTGCAGGGGCCGCGCTCTCCAGGTTCCGCCCCGTGGAGAAAGCCGGCGTCCCATTGGCTCAGCCTGGGGCACGGTCGGCTGCCGATTGGTTGAAAGAAGGAGGCGGGAGGGAGGTGTGCCCTTACATCATCCCGGCCCCTGGAAGCACAGGATTGTGGGAGGGACGGGGCGACTGGGAGGAGGAACCAAATACCCGGAACGACCTCTGCGGGGCCAGGACGGTCGTCGCCCGGAGCCTAGGTCTCCGCCCCCCCGGCAGGGTGGGCTCCGCCCTCGCTCCGCCCTCGCTCCGCCCTCGCTCCGCCCTCGCTCCGCCAGCGGGGCCGTCAGGTGACCGCAGGCTAGCGCGGTCACGTGGACCGGGCGGGCGGGCGGGCGCGCCCGAGCTGGCCATGGCGGCCGCGGTGTCCGGTGTGGTGAGGCGGCTGGAAGAGCTCGGGGACCTGGCTCAGGCCCACATACAGCACCTTAGCGAAGCCGCGGGGGAAGACGGTGAGGGAGCGCCGCAGAGGGAGGCGGGCGGACGGGGGTGAGACCCGCGGTGCCGCCGCCGCCGCCGCGCTCGCTGGCCAGAAGGCGCGGCCTGCGGTCCCCAGGCGGGGGCCCTGGCCCTGGCCCACTGAGGGCTGGCGCTTCGGAGCCGGTCCCCATTGGGCCGTCCTTTACCCTCTCCTCCGGAGTCGTGCTGTCCAGGCAGCGGTTTTTAAAATATCCCTCGAAACCCTTCTTGTTACATCCCACCAGATGTGCAGTGTCGAATCTGCGGAAAGGGTAGACTCTGAATAAAAGTACCCTTGGACGGTTCCCTGGATGCTTAATAGTGTGCACAAATGAACGTTTCTTTCTTTCTTTTTATTTATTTATTTTTTTTGCATCCAGTAAATACAAAGGGGCGTGCGTGACAGTTCACTTTCTCATTCCTACCTTGTAAATTTCCCCCTTTGTGTTCAATTCAAAATTCAGTCGCAAATAAACAGTATTTTACACAGTTGCACTGGTGTAGTTTAAATGAGCTTCCCTCCACACTATTTTAGTTCTTTCAAAGTCGTGCATAAACCGAGAAATATCTGAGCTGTTTCCTTAGAGAGAGAGAGAAAAAAAGTGGGTTGAGATCGTTCTTCTGATATCAGAATCAGTTTGCTTTTTATAATTTCTCAGTTGTAACTGATTGGACAGTACTTTTTTTTTTGAATGTTGTGCCTTTACCGTACACAAGCTTTAAGATTATTATAACTAGATTCATAGAAAAACCATAATGAAGCATCTTTCCAAGTGATTGAATAGTTGCTATATTTACAGAATTGGTTCTACAATTAAATGAGCCACTTTGAATGAAGAACATTTGCTGGACTGTTTCTTCTTAGGACAGTGTTCCTCAGTGTCCCACATACTACAGTGAGGCTATGGCTTTTGTTTTGTGGCAAGTGGAAGATAGGGTTCAGTAGTGACTGTTACCTGATCTGTATCCGGGTTACTTTTAATTCTAGTTCTATTTGGGTCAGCCCAGAATTCCTGATAATCTTTAGTCATTTATTACTGAACCCAACAGTCATTCATATTTTCTTTTGAAAGGATTCTATGATCCCCTGTAGAAGAAGCCTGGAAAGAGAAGTTCATTGTTACGTGGTCTTGTTTGGAGGCTTTTATACATCTAAATTTTACTAAAATCACAGTGGTAGCTGTCCACTTTATGAGTCAGTATTGAAGTTAATCTTACTAGAGAATTACTAATAGAGAATTACTAATAGGGCTTACTTAGATTTAATTAAAACAAGATTATGTGTATTTGAATTAAACTTGGCCCCTTTTCATACAACAAAAACAACACACATTGGAAATTTGTCCTTTAGCCTAACAGTTACATGTTTTTATTAAGTTGTCACTATTGATAGTCTATTTTATTCAAAGTAGATTACATAAGGCACATCTTCATTCTACTTAAGAATGCTCTTTGTATTTATGGCCAATTTTTTTTTTTTTTGTTCATCTGTTTCTCATTGCTAACAGTATGATAGTGTCTTGTGTGGAATTATACCATAAGAAGGACATTTTCCAGAGATGATGTGAGTCACTTTTATCTTTTGCCTTGCTGGTTTGCTTTAAATATTTCTAGTTAAAGGGGATGTATTTTTATGGACTTTTCCAAAGTGATACCTACGCCAGGACCGCATCCCCCTGCAGTAATAACGCTACCATCTTTCTTCAGCAGTGACTTGGTTCAGGACAAGTCTTGGCATTTACAATCATCTTGGAAGTTAAGGGAAAAATATAAACAGCTTCTAAAGCGTGTGGGGAGTGCAGTATTCCATACTATTGGGGTTCACAGGAGAATCTTCTGAGTTGTATAGTTAGTACTTTTGGGGCCAAGGAGAGATGGGAAGACTGCTAACTAGGTAGCATTCAGTCCAGGTGAATAGCGATCTTAACAGCAAAAAAAAAAAAAAAAAATCCTCTAAAGCTACAGTTTAGTTTTTTTCGCAGGAAAACTAAAGGTCATGATGTGACTGCCAGCTGACATACTCGATGGTATTTTTATTCTAAAACTGAACGGATTATCTCTTTATGTAATGGCAGAGGCTGGATCAGATGGGACCCACACCAACTCCTGCCTTGCCTGTCCATTGGCAGATGGTTAGGAAAGGTGCTGTATTTCAGAGCAGAGGCTTAGAGACTTTCGTGTCTTGCTTGTGGCATGCCTGTCTACATTTTACTACATGAAGTGATGCAGAGGCAGGACGGGATCTTTGGGACCCACGAAGTCTGGAATCAGACGTAAAGAAGATGTGGTAGTTAAGGGGAGATGGTGAAGGCTGGACGGTTGGGCAACTTGTGATAAGAAAGTGCATCGGAAGTATTGGAATTTTTGTTTGTTTCTTGTTGTTTTTCTGTAGGTTTTGAAGGAATGAGGTAATTCGTTCCATAGCAAAGTTTTAAAGCCTTTTAAATTGTAATCGTAGTTGTAGCAGCTAGAAATACAAATATAATAAAGTGTGAGTTGTTTACAGTCTGATAATTTTACAGATTTTGGTCACTTATTCTTTTAGGCAACATTTGCAGTTACATTTATGAAATTACATGCGTTTAGTGGAACTCTTTCTGCAGATGTGTAGATTTTGCATTATTCCGATAAAAGTTGTAAATTTACTAAGTTTTTTGAGTGTTTCACCATTGTAAAAAACATTATAATAAACTGAGAGTGACGTAGACGGCTCAGCAGGTGAAGCACGTGCTGTGCAAGCGGGATGAACTGTGGTAAATGCCAGGTTGCCGTCGTGGTTCCCATGTCATCCCAAGGCTCCCAGGGCAGGTTGGCTAGCCAGACTAGCCGAACGGCAGCTCCAGCTCCGTGTTCAATGAGTGACCTTGGCTCAGTATAGACGGTGAGGAGGGATTGAGGAAGACATCTTAATGTCAGTCTTTGCCTTCCACGTGCACACCCACACGTGTGTGAACATGCATACATATGCATATACACTACACGTATACACCCAAGGAAGAAGTGGGCTGTATACTTAATTCTTTAATAAAGTCGCTTAAGAATGTAGACCGAATTTAAGAAATAGCAACAGTGAATCTAAAAAGCTTTCACTCCTTTGCTTTTGATAATAAATATACTTTATTGTGATTGGGTTTTATGTATGAAATACTTAATGTTTTAGGTAAGAAATTGCTATCTTGTCATAATATAGTTTTGTTACATCATTTCTGTTCATAGCTTTTTTGTTTAAAAGGCACTTTGAATTTATGTAAAATAGTCATGTTTTTATTATTTACAGATCACTTTTTAATTCGGGCCTCTGCAGCTCTAGAAAAATTGAAACTCTTGTGTGGAGAAGAGAAAGAATGTTCAAATCCATCCAATCTTTTGGAACTGTACACACAGGTACTGAAACAAATGTGAAGTCTGGCTTTCCTGAGGGTATGTGTGATGCACACACATATTCATGAGGATGTGGGTGCTTGTGCACTTGAGTGTATTCATCTGGAGATCATAGGTTGATGTTAGGTCTTTTCTTCAGTCACTCCATCTTGATTTTTGAGACAGGGTCTCTCACTGAACCTGTAGCTTATGGATTCAGCTGGGCTGATGGGCCAACCAGTGAGGGCCAGAGATCCAGCTGTCTTAGCCTCCCCAGTGCTGGGATTACAGGTGCTCACTGCCAGGCCCAACTTCTTCCATGGATGCTGAGAAACTCAGTTCCTTATGCTTGCGTCAAAGACTGCATTGACTGGGCCATTTTCCTCAGTCCCTGAACTCTGGTGTTTTGAAGGCAGATTGATTATTTAAATGGTAGACTCCCAAAGGCTAAATATGTAATAAAGTCAAATTAATCTTAAAGCATTGAATTTTATTAATGAGAAAAAGAAACTGCAGTTTGCAAAGGAGGAAGATTCATTAGATGTATAAATAAAAATACCGCTATTAACACTGTTAATGATAACTAATCCGAATACTAGAAACTAAGGCCTAATTTTCTCCCCTGGAATTCACATTTTCCTAGGACTGTAAATATGATTCCTGTGCTGTCATTATACACATTCATGACATTTTTCTGTTACTTTTTGCCTTCTGTCTTAGTTAGGGTTACTATTGCTGTGAAGAGACACCAAACTCTTACAAGGAAAAATCATTTAATTGGGGTGGCTTACAGTTTCAGAGGTTTAGTCCATTATCATCATGGCAGAACATGGCAGAATGCAGACAGACATGGTGCTAGAGAAGGAGCTGAGAGTCCTATATCTTGACCCGCTGGCAACAGGAAGTACTCTGAGACACTGGGTGTCTTGAGGATATATGAAACCTCAGAGCCCACCCCCATAGTGAAACATTTCTTCCAACAAGGCCATACCTACTCCAACAAAGCCACACCTCCTAATAGTGCCACTCCCTATGGGGACCATTTTCTTTTAAACCACCACACCTTCCTTTTGAGTGGTACCTGCTTTCTTGGTCTTCTCAAGCACTTCTGAGGAAAGCTGACATCAAGAACTATAATGCCATCACAGTAATTAATATTTGAATAGCACTTTGTGGTTAGCAAAGTGCTTTCATATGTCTTTTCTTGATTGCTAAGAGATAGTAAAGATGAAGTAGTTATGGAAAGTAGAGGACTTGGTTAAGTTTTGCAAGTGCGTATTTATAGTGTTGACAGGCCCATCACTGTGCTTCCTCATAGGAGGTACATGTTAGTGTTTCTCCCTCCAAGCATGGCTGAATTAACCTATAGTAGCTAAACCCCTAAGAACTAACTTGGAAGGTATCTAGCTCTTCAGAAGACTTTCCACTCTTGTCTGCTATGATGAGGATTATGCTTGGTCTTTCACATGAAGATCCTCTAAATATTTGAACTTCCCCCAATACAGCAGAATATTTAGAGATACAGACTTAAATTTCCCATGCCTTGAATTCTGCCCATGGCTCTGAATCCATAGCTTCCCTCTGTAAGATGCTCATGGCTTTCAATCAAGCCTGTACGATGCTGATCTCTCTCCCCTTGAAGATAAGGCTTAGTCCTTATCACTTAGGTATTATTAATTGTGCTTTTAGTGTTTCACATGTTTTACATATGCATTTTATTCTCAAAGAAAGGAAATTTCAAAGGCACTGCCTTATCCTTGCTTAGTTTTGTGACCAGTAGAAAAACTACCACTACAACCCAGTTTCCTTAGTATTAGTCTAGTAGAGTAAAATAAGTAAAAGGGCTAAGGAGTTTTAACATCTTACAGGCTGTTAGGGACCCAGTGTTGGAATTCATACATGAATAGCATGCTTCATTTATGTGGTGGCAGGATGTATGCTCTCAAATACTGGCTGTATATTTGGGAAAAACAAATCTCCTGACGATTCAATATTGAAAAGTAGAAGTAGACTATAATACTTCAGGCATTTATAAACTTTTCAGGGGTTATACAAATATAAACAGCAAATAATTTAATAATTGATTACATTTCATAATTATGGTAATTGAAACATGAATCTTTATTTACTTCTTGAAACAGTACTATCACTAATCCTGTTTAGCCCTGAACATTTTGCTTACTTTCAAATTTAAATACATGTGTTAACATGGTTGAGTGTCTAATAAAGCTTTATATATGCAAGGCTAAATTCTTTGTTACTCTGTGAAGTTCCATCTCTTACCGATACTTTTCTTCTTTGTCTTAAGGCCATATTGGACATGACATATTTTGAGGAGAATAAACTAGTAGATGAAGATTTTCCTGAAGACTCTTCTCCCCAGAAAGTAAAAGAGCTCCTCAGTTTCCTTTCAGAACCAGAAATTTTAGTTAAAGAAAACAATATGCATCCCAAAGTAAGTTCTGTATGCTTGCGAATGGTAACAGAACATTGTCACATTGTCTTTCTGCTGTCCCGCTCTTTAGACTGTATTTGTGTTGCTTGTGAATGTATCTTTGTTTTAAATTAGGATTAAAAGAAAGAGTTTTGTTGGGCATGGTTTCACATGTTTTAATCCTCACACTTGAGAGAGGCAAGAGTTCTGAGTTCGGGGCCAACCTGGTCTAAATAGGGAGTTCTAGGCCAGCCTGATCTACATTAGTAAGTTCCAGGCTAGCCAAGACTGTTTAAAAAGATCCTGTCTCAAAGAGGGTAGGGGTTAAGGGAGAGGAGCTTAACACTCCAGGTCATGACCAGAAAAGTATATTTTATGAACTCCTTTCAAAATATTTATATAATGGAATTTTAACTTTATTACATGCAGAATCCTTTTCTAACGTGGATGCTCCCTTGTCCCTTTTACTTTGCAGGTGCTGTTCTTGGTAGTCATATAATCTCATTTCTACATTTGTCTTTATTGCCTTTTTTTCCTTTAGAGTTTTGAGACAGGATCTCACTGTGTAATGCTGGCTGCCCTTGAACTCTGTAGGTCAGGCTGGCCTTAGATTTACAGAAATCTACCTGCCACCTCCTCCTCCTAAGTACTAGAAGGAAAAATCATGTCCCACCACACCCGGTCCTTACTGTTTGTTTAAATCCTGGTCCTGGTGAACATTTGCTGCCTTTTTACTAGCACTGATGGCTCGTCTTCTGTGTGCTCTTTTCTCCTTCACCCTAAGAAGCTTTCCCTTGCTCTTTGCTGGAAATTCCTCTTTTTCATCTTAGAGACAGGCGTTGCCCAAGGATGTCTCCTTCATGCTTTGGTAGTCTCTGTTCTGTCTGGAATGTCCTGTTCACACACTTTGTTGGCCTTAATATATCTAGTCCTGGGTATTCCTTTATTTTTTTTAAACATTTATTTGTGGGTGCATTGTGTACATGCACATGCATGTGCCACAGTACACATGTGGAGGTCAGGACGGCGTACAGGAGTCATTTCTCTTCTTTTGTCATATGGGTTCTGGAATTGAATTCAGGTTTTAAGGTTTGACCACAAGCACCATTACCTGCTGAGCCTCCTTACTGGCCCTACTGGATACTATTTCAAGTAAATTACTTCTTGTATTTATGTGCCTGCTGACTGTCTACCTAAATACCTTCTTGGCTCTATATATTTATTAGGACAAGCTTGCTGGAAAAGCAGATTACCCCAAGATTTAAAGGCCATACCACTACAAACATTTTGATTTATTAAAATTATTTTTTTCATATATATCTTTTCATTATTCTAGCAATTTAATTCTTATTCTATTCTCTAGTTCCTATTTCTTTCTAGAAAAATAGATATGATCTTGACAAAGTGTGTTTCTAAAAGGGTGTCATTTTAATGAGATAATGGATTTTTTTCCATTTTCCAAATAATAGTAGGGGGTTTTGCTACTATGGTATTTCAAGTTATTTTATGAAACTATTTGTAAATTACAGTTAGTTTGCTGTGTACATACCAACAGACAACAATTAAGTCTACTTAATTCCAACATAAGCCTTCCTCTGTAGCCTAACCTAGACACATTCTGTGAAATGAGAGTGCTTGAATCGCTTAGTTTTCTTTAGAAGTTTGATTTTTGTAAATGTATGGCTTTTTTGTGGATATGCATTTTATGTTTCTTTTTAGCTATGTGATTTGCTTGGGGATGAGCTACTGGAATGCCTCTCTTGGAGAAGAGGAGCCCTGTTATATATGTATTGTCATTCTCTAACTAAGAGAAGGGAGTGGCTCTTGAGAAAATCTAACTTGCTTCAGAAGGTAAGAAACAATTTCATTTTTGATTTTGAATGTTAGCATTTACAGGCTTTAAAACATTTTATAATAACAGTAGTGAAATCAGAGATTCTGGACTAGTAGACCTACATTTTAGGTTCACAGGCTTTAGGTTCTTAGAATTTCTGTGAAGACTAAGATGACACATGAAAGAATATCATCATTTGGAGACTGCTACATGTGTCTCTCAAGTTCTTGATTTTTATTTTCATTTGAATATGAGATAAAGCTATTAATTTCTAAATATTTAAAGAGGTTTTGATATGAGTCTCCCTTTGTAGGCAAGGTGATTCTGAGAAGCCTTTATAACTCTGCTCCTAAGACAGTATGACTCTGTGATTTGTATCTGTTCTAACATTATTATTCCAGAGACATGAATCTTAGTATTGTGTCACTAAGAATTCCAGCTCAGTCTAAATGTACCCATAGTTTACATAGGCTTGGAAACAGGAAGCCATACTTTTAGGTAGAAAATTTTAAATATACTATATCTGAATCATAAAAAGGGCTGAAAATATAGTTTGGTGTTAGAGCACTTGTCTAGCATATGATAACCTAGGTGTAGTTCCCAGGACTGCAGAACAAATAAAACTCCATATATATTAAAGTTGTTTTTTGAATTCACCTTTACAACATTTATCCTTTGATAATATTTTTTTAATAAGTGAATTACTGCCCCATGTGTTTGTGGTTGATATTTTCTTCTTGTTCCATACTCTTATTATTTGGGGGGTTTACTTATATTAGAACAGTCTTAGAGTGGTGAGTTTTTATGCCATTGGAATGTAATGGTAATTATATATACTTGTGTATTAGTCCATTTATTCTTGAGTAAAGAATGAGACAAAAAGTACTTGTTTATAGTTCTGTGTATAATGCTTTTAATTATTTGACTTATTTATTTAGTACCTTGTTGATGGGATCAATTACTTGCTGCAGATGCTAAATTATCGATGCCCTATCCAGTTAAATGAAGGTGTTTCTTTCCAAGACCTAGACACAGCGAAATTACTAAGTACAGGTAAGGTGATTTCTTCTTAAAGTTTCGTACGTGAAGTTTTTTGTTGTTGTTGTTGTTAAGATTTTAGAAAACTTGCTAACTTGACTCTCATTTGAATTTCGTACTGCATTTAAAATTAATTCAAGGACTAAAATCTTTTCATATAATGTAGAAAAACACTTAAAACATATTTAGTTTTGGCTAGATATAGTGGCAAAAATCTTTAATCCCAGTATTTAAGAGACAGAGGCGTGAGGAATTGTGAGTTCAAGATCAGCCTGGTCTGCATAGTGATTTCCAGGACAATCAGAGGTATATAACGAGATGTGATATATGTGTGTGTGTATGTGTGTACTTTCATTAATGTCTTTGTGTGTGAGTGAATATATGTACATGTATGGCGGTACCTATGGAGGCCAGAAGAGGATGCAGAGATGGAGTTAATTTGGGAGAGTTAATGTATGGTGTTACTTTTTCTTATTTTTGTTTTGACAAGAACTAGAGTTGGCTATTAGTATTATACTGGAAGTAAGTTTTAAATGAAATAGACATGGATGTGCTAATTGTACTTGCTAAGTAGAAATTGCTTTACACATAGACAACATAATGTAGTGTGGTCTCTCATTTTCCAGAATGCACATCCCAGACTCTGCTCTTTGGTGGCTACTTTTTATTGAAGCATGCTTTAGTGAATCAGCTGTTCTGCAAACTCTTACTTCACTTGCTGCTCCTTTTAGGTAGAATTTGAAGATGGCAGCTTATAAGAACAAGTTTGGTGACTTAGGCACATTCAAAACAGCAGAAACTTGCATTCTGCTACAGTCATACTTGTAGTTTTATTGAATTATTTTATGTGAGTGTCTTTGTCACTGTTCTATTGCTGTGAAGAGACATCATGACCAAGGCAATTCTTATGAAAGAAAGCATTTAATTGAGGGCTTGCTTGCAGTTCAGAGGTTTAGGCCATTATCATCATGGTGGGAGCATGATGGCAGGCAGACAGGCCTGGTGCTGGAGAAGTAGCTGAGAGCTACGTCCTGATCCACATATAGCGGGCAGAGACTGGGCCTGGCAGAGAGCGAGACTCTGGGCTTGTTTGGCATGGGCTTTTGAACCCTCAAAGCCTACCCCTAGTGATACACTTCTCTAACCAGGCCAACTTTTAATTCTTTTAAATAATGTAGCTCCCTGGTGACTAAGTATTCAAATATATGAGCCTCTGGAGCCATTCTTATTTAAACCAACATGGTGAGGTTATCATGACCATTTATTTGATGTAAATTTGCTTATCACACAAGTACTTGTACATTGGAATAAATCATTTGTTTGTGTCTAAGTGACTGTAAGAAGTTGATCATATATTTTAATACCATTTTTTTTGTTTTAATTATTCACTTTTTAATCTTTTGGGTATTTTTTTTATTTTTTTTTTTGAGATAAGGTTTTACTATGTAGCTTCAGTTAGCCTGGAACTCCTTTGTAGTACAGGAGGCTGGTCTGCAACTGTAATTCTGCTCACCTCCAAGGTTCAAATTACAAATGTTCCTACTACTCCTGGTGTACTCTCTTATTCTAAGTCTAATTTATATTTCTTACAAATTAACATGCTTTTGACCTTAAATATTTAATTACACAATTGCTGGGAATAATGTTAAAGAACTATTCATCTTTTGATGGAAATGGTCCTGGATGTGCTTTTTTCCTAGTGATACAAAGCATCTTACATATCATTAGCATCTGATAATTTAGAATTGTATGGCCCATCAAACACATAATGATTCATAAGATTATTAGTAGACTCAAATATGGGACTGTCATAACAATACAGTTATGTCACTGATCCTAGAACATCCTTCAAAATAAACTTGGTGTTCATGGATGCAGTTCAGGGAATTTATGAGAGTTCTGAAGTTGTATACAGAATTTAGGGTACAATCTAGAAGTGTTCCACTAGTGAAATTAATTCTCAAAAAAAAAGGTCCTAAAGAGGACTCCTAGAAATGTTAAGAATACCTAGATGGTTATTAAAAAAAATATTATTTGACAATACTCTGCTTTGTTTGGGGGATGAATTTCTTTTCTGGGTAAAAGGCAAAAGTATTGATTAAGTTAGGATTGTGAGAGTGGTAGTGGGCTTTTCTGAGCATTAATAAGTGGCATGAAAAATGTTTATTGGTGATGACTTTATTAGCTTTTCAATAGCTGATGTTTCTTCTATAAACTTAATTCTAATTTCAAAATGAATGACCTTCCCAGGAATATTTAGTGATATTCATGTGCTGGCTATGATGTACAGTGGAGAAATGTGCTACTGGGGATTAAAGCATTGCCCAGATCCACAGTCAGAAAATCCTGAAGTTGATACTGATGCTTTTGGAGCAAGCTGCACCACACACAAAGAACCTTTGGATTTCCGAGAAGTAGGAGAAAAAATCCTGAAGAAGTATGTGTCGGTGTGTGAAGGACCTCTGAAAGCGCAGGAGTGGAACACAGCCAATGCAAAGCAGATCCTCAGCTTCTTTCAGCAGCGCTGTAGCTAGGTGGTCATCTGTCCTCCCAACTGAGAGAAGTAAAGATGGGTGAACCGGAGAAGAAGGCTTCAGAGAAGGAGCTCTGCTACACTGATCTTGAGAATAGTACACTACGTAAAGATGCCCAATGTGGCCACCCCTCTTTAATGCTATCACCTTTCATTGTATAGTCTTAATCTGTGAAAAAAGTATTCTCTAATTTCTAAAATGGCATATATGTTATTCTAACTGAACTTGAACTACATACAATCCTGCCACTAATAAGGAGGAACCCAATGTAGATTGACAGTTGTTTTCTAATACTTTAGGTTATATTTCATTGTGGTAAAACTATGTAACACAAAATCTCCTTATTTTGAAGTAGGCATACTTCAAAGATGAAAATCAGTTTTCCTCCTTGTTTCAAATATATACTATAAGTATAAATGTAGGCAATTAAAAAATTATAACTAATATTTAGATTTCATTTCCAGTAAGCTAAATAGCAAAATATTTTAAAAAACGAATCATTGTATTTATTTTGCCATGTATTACTAATAATGCTTAAATTATTGACTTAGCTATTTTATAAATTATTTTCTTATTTTGTTTAAAACAAAAACTGCATGGTGTTTCCAATAATGAAGATAAAAATCAGTGTAGATGATTCTGTCATTAGTTCAGGGCACATCTTTGCCTAATGAACTTCACATATGTTTTGCCTTTATTAGGATTGACATGCTGATGGTCAAAGAGCCTCGTTTGCTGTCTTGCTCACCGTTTTCCTGCCTACCTCAACTCCTGTTGTCTTGGGATGGTCTGTATGATGAGACCTTCTGACACGCTAGACTTTTGCCCCAGTGACATCTGTACATCTGGTCATTTCTGTTACTGCTCCTTGAGTATCAGCCATACTCAGTTTCTTTTTCTAAAATCTTAAATTTCAGTAACAGATGACAGTTCTCATCTTTTCAGCTTTTAAAATGCCCTTGTTTGTATTGGTTTTTCTCTATTTTCATTCTACAGCTTTCATCTTTTTTGCAGGTTTGTTCTTGACTGTTGTCCTAACTCTTGAGCAGGGAACCTTTTTCATGACTTCTTTGCCCTGCACCTCATGGGGCTTCATCGGAACTACTGTCCCCTGGTCTTCCCTCTTCTCTTTTGTCTTTAGCAGGCTCTCAGCACTGGGTTAATCCTTCCTCGGCCATTTATTCTTAGGAGGCTCAGTTCTATGGAAGGCATGTAGTCCTTCCAAGGGTGTTACTATGTGTATGACTTCACTTAGAAGAACCCTAACTGCAAGCGACAAGGTGCCTGTCTTTCCCACTGTGGTAGAGTCCAATTTCATTAGTCACTTCTACCTTGTTTTTTTAACAGGAAGTTTAGATTCTGAGGGAGTCAACTTACATTTACTCACTTTTCTGTTTTAAAGAAAAAATAGGCTGCTCGCTTTCTGTTGACTACTCTTTGCTATTCCCTTTGTTTCTCTTGTTGTTTCTCATTTTCTGCTTGTCCTCATGAAGGGTCTGTTCTTTCTTCTGTCCTTTCTCCTTCTTTCTTTTTATTCCAAATGCTCATATAAGCAATACTTTTCACGGCCATTTGGCTTGTAATAATGCCTATACCAGGCTGATTTCCATTCCAGGAACTTGAGCTCCATTTCCCTTGCTCTCTGAAGTTTATTTCTAACTGCCTATTAAATGTCTTCACTTGGACAAATAGTGACTGCACAGTAATTTTAAGGTCAGTATGAGCAAACATCAAATTTTTAGCCTTTATGGGAAATCCTCTCTGCTTCGTTTCCCCCAGTTTTGTGTATTTTTCAAGTAGAGAAACAGAGGCCTACCTTCCCATCTTCATTTCTACAACACTTTCACTTGTGTTCTAGACCAATGGTTTTCACACATCAAAACCCCAGGCTCCTTTTGATAAACAAAATTCTGAATGAGCAGTGGAAGTCAGGGGAGATTCCTCCATCCCTGCTGCAACTCCTGGCCTGTCTTTATACAACCAAGATTTTTATCTAACCTAGCATTTTAGCAAGTTTTATTATGAAAATACCTTAGCTTTCTAAAATTAAATGATCTTTAATGTGCTTTTTAGAAGCACAGGCTTCTTCCGTGGGTCATAATCCATTAATCAAGTGCTTCCCGTACTTTTCCCAAATGCACTTACGTTTTCCAACCTCAGTACCTTTGTAGACATCATTTCTAGGCCCTTCTTTGTGGCCAGATAATACTTTACTTGTATGATGTACCTTTAGTAATACTATGTCCAAAGGCTTTTCTTCAGCCCTTTCCAGTAGACATTAGACGTTCCTTTATTTTTTCTATCTTCCTTTCCCGTGTGACCACAGTACAATGTGTTGTAATTGTTTTCCTTGTAATTGTTTTACTGAATGAACTCCATATCTTAAATTTTACCTTTGCACATACTGTTCTTTGCATGGTAGGTAGTAATGTTTTTTGAATTAATGAGGCATGATTTGAAATGCCAAATTTTGCACAAAAGGGTTGCTGCTATTGCATTCCAAACTGCCATGCCCTCTATACCAGCAGTTGATACAGCAATGAGGAATATAGATTCCTCAGAGGAGTAAAGTGTTCCTCGGATACTAAACCTGAGAAAATAAGACTTCATCTTCAGAAGCTGAGAGCTTCAAGTTTTGCCTTTATGACCTTTGTGGACTCACTGGATGGTACAATTATGAGGGTATTCCTGGGTGCTTTTTGTGTATTTTACTCCCTCCGCCCAAACAATTGGAGAACAATTTGTAGACCATGATAGTTTCAGTACTTTTTACTGTGGTATTATAAAAGAACAACACATTTTGTATTAATTTAATCTTGAGGAGTAAATTCTTTATTTAGAATGAAGTAACCTCAAAATACAAAATACTCCACATATGGACAGTAATTAAGCCTACAATCAATTCTTTCAACAGCTATTGTATGCCTACTACATGCCATATCTTGTTCTAGGCACTGAGGATATAGCTTTGGAAGCACCCTCTTATTATGGGGCTTTCAGTAGAGGAAGAATATATACAGTATGCCAAGTGACAACACTATAAAGCATTAAGCAGGGTGTAAGGGACAAGTGTGACTCTGAGATGGGTGCTATCTTATAAGGAGTGGTTGGAAAGGCACATCTAAGCACCCATCTTCAATTTCCATCCTGTTGTTTAGATGCCTTGTATATTCAGTACATTGAAAGATTTTCTTACCGAAGTTACCACTTAAAACTTTCTCATTTCTGTTGCATTTAATAGATTTCTGATCAGTGGTGTTCCTAATCTATACTGCCTAAAGGCCTTGGGCTTTTTATTCATTCCAGGTGGTTTTCTTTCTACCTTCCACTTCCCTTTTCTGCCTTCTATAAGGTTACTACTTCTGTCCACAGAAGCCAAAACTGTAGTTTCTTTAATATCACTTCCCTATATATTTTAAACACAATATGAGGTAACATAGTATGGAAATATTACATTAAGAGGTACTTAATATAGTCACGGTTAATTTATATATTATATATTCATGCTAGTGTTCAGCATTTTTTGTTTTCCTACTTCTAGTGAAAAATCACTATCTTCAGTATGAATTCTCTGCTGTTTATTAAGATGTAAAATGTTATAGGATTTTCCATAATCCTTAAATGTTTATCATTCTTTACTCAGTATGAATTTTCTGATGTGGATTAGGCTTTAAGACTTGATTGTGAGTTTGAGGCCAGCCTGGTCTATAAAGAGAGTTTCAGAGCAGCCAGGGCTATTAAACAGAGAAACCCTGTCTTAAAAAACAAAAACCCAAAGAAAAAAAAGGACTTAAGAGACTGTCTCTTGCTGTGTTTATAGGCTTTCTGGCTCCTGTGCATTATCTGATGTTAAGGTACATATCATTGACATTCCTTTATCTTTCACATACAGTAAAATGAGCTAAGAGTCATGACTAAAAGGCCACCGTAACGTGATGTTCCTAGCTTTACAGTCTGCGGTCAGTGCTTTGATAGTCATTAAAGTGTGAGCGCTGTGAAGGCATTCTCAGAGTTACCTTCCTGACACTTTAAAAACCCACTGCTACTAACATGGTCTACTTTTAGGTTGCTTGTCTCCTTGGTCCGTCTTCTAGGGCCCCTTTTGTAACTCTATGAATACCCCGTCTGCCACATAATCCAGGATCCCATAGTTCTCTAGTATTACTTACCCTGAGTTCTTTTAATATAAAATGAAATACATTATGGAAGTATTATATTAACATAAGCTTAATATAACAGGAATTAAAAGTATTCATTATGTACTTATGCTGGTGGTTAGTAGTTTTTGTTTTACCAACTTTCAGTAACATTTTCCAACTACAGTGTTTTGGAACCTATGATTAATAAAATAAAATCACATTCCCCTACTTGTTTCTTGTTTTATATTTTATTCTTGCATCGGAGTAAAAATGTTTCCTCTCAGTATGCTTTTCTAATCGCTGAATGCTATTCTGGTCCTGATAACTTGCAGATAGGTTAGCATAATGATTCAGATTGTGAGTTCTGGGGCTAGAAGGCCTGAGTTAAATCACAACCCTGCCACTTCCTAACTGTAACGCTTATGTAAATTAATAAATCTTCCTGACTTTTAATATTCTATTTCTTTTTATTATTTTTAAGCATGTTTAAATGGTGTGTTTCTGTGCATGTGGCCCATGGAGGCTGGAGCTGAAGTTTCAGATGGCTGTAAGTCACCTGATGTGGGTGTTGGAACTCCAGCTTCCATCCTCTGCGGGAGCAGGGGGAGCTCTTAACCATGCTCCATCTCTCTAGCCCCTTAATCTTATTTCAACAAGTATTTCCATAATGAATCTGAATTCTTCCTCGTTCAATAGATAATTCACATTTCCTCGAAATGTAGGAGCAGTGGCGTCTCGTTTCTTCAATTTAACTGACTTAGTTTCTCATGCTAATTTTCTTTCTCTGAATATGTAAAATAAAACACAACTTAGGAGGAGAAATGTCATCTAAGTAATTAATTCATAAGTCTTTTCCTGATAAGCCTGTGGTTGGCCTATTCACTATTAGCAATGGCATGTGGAATAATAATCATTTTAAATTCAGATTCTCACGGAGCCTCAGTTACTCCGGCACCAAGCTTTGTTGAATCTCTGCTTGTCATTTAGATCCTCGGGTACTATTTTTTGAATAAAGGGTTCTGTTGAAAAGCATTTAGGGTCTACTACTGAGCCGTGAGTTCTGGTACATGCTGGCTTATATTGTTAAGTATCTGTCACTGCACTGTTCATACACTAGCACCTGTTTCCTGTAGCCTTGTGTGTTCTTTAAAGATTTAATGTTTATAAAGATGTGGGACTTGCCTTCTACTCTGAAGTTATAAAATGGGATTAATTTTTAAACACTTTATGAACTAGATGTAGGGGAACATTTTGACAATAGAGGTTAAAACAATTATATATGCAAGATCAAAAAATTTAAATATTTTCCAAAAAATAATACAGCTTCATGTCTTGGAATGGTAAACAGTTACAGGTTGACAATGATTTTAAACTAAATTATGTGGAATCCACCTATCATGCTTATTATCAAGAACAGGATTTTACTTACACCTTCAGGTTATTTTGATTGGGATGTAATTTGTCTTACTGTGGTGTAACATGTTTTAGTCCTTACTAAATATTCTTAAAAGATTTTAAATAATTTAACATGAGAATATTAAAATATCCCATGTAAGTAACAAGTCTAGATTTGGAACGGATTTGGGGATTAGATTAATCTACTTGAAAATGACCGACACATGCTACTACACAGGTGTTTGTGTCTTTCCTAAAGAAACTGTATCCAGTGCTGTATAATATTATTTTGTTCTATAGTCTACCTCTGGTTTCTTAAATTTCTTTTAAATTAAGATTAAAGTGAACAGAACAGACTTGGCTTTTGAAAGATTAAAAATTCACTAGTTACTTTTAAGAATACCACATTCTGTTTTCTCTTCCTATCAAATTTTCTTCCATCCTGTCCTTTTATGATAGATCATTGAACAATTTTTTAGTGTACTTAAATTTTTGTAGTGGGCCTAAACTCGCCGTTTTGGTATAAAGTACCTAACGATTGGGCTTTTTTTTTTGAGGGAAAATAACAACTCTTATGTAAGCAAGATAAGCGTGACCATGGCCAGAGACTGTATTCAAGTTACCTTGAAGGGCACACTGAGTTGTGGAAGCAGTTACCATGAACTGACAGCCACAGAACAAAGGCCGCACATCAAATACATTTACCACCTACACTGATGGAGGCATTATGTAGACAACCTAGATAAAATTGGGTAAATCTTTTCTGATTTCAGATGTTACACTGTTTATGTTAAGATAGTTAAAGGGGATGGCGAGATGGTGGCTCAGCAGGAACCTGCACGTTCCTGCAAATACCCACATACATATAGTTAACCTTAAAACATTTGTAAGGGCTAGATGTTTGCTAAGCTTACTAACCACAAGTTTTACCTAATATTCCTGAAGAGGTTAGTCCTGTAAACACAGAGCTTGAAGGTAAAGGGCTATTTAAAGGACTGTGCCTGAGGCAGTTTTGGCTCTCCACCTACAATACTTTCTCCAAAGCAGGATGGTCACACAGCCTGAACTATCTTGACTACAGATGTAGCTTCTTGGAGAACTTTAATTCCACGGACTCCTGATAGTATCCATAGGCTCAGTTTTTACCAAGCTCCAAGAAAGCGGTAAACTGGTGATTCCAAAACACAGATGCACACACAGAGCCCACTTACAACTAATTCTTACTAAGGGGAAGCAAGTGTCATTGGGCCCAAGATCACAGAAAAGGGTGGCTACTCAACAAGCCCTCCCCCCTAGGTCCTTGCAGTGAGTAGAGCCGGGGACAAGAAGAGAAGGTACAGTCTGGGGTAGGGGGTGGGGCGGGAGGGGACAGTCATTCCCGCAGCGGTAAGAGAGCGAGTGGGTGAGCCATGGTTGACGCGGACCTCGGCCCGGAACCGCGCCCAGTAGGCCAGCCCCGGGTCTGCCCAGCGCGGCGGGCGGGCGCAGGCGGAGACGGAGGCCGAGCGGCCAGGAAGCCGGTGCGTCCGGCTGTGTCGCGCGGCCACGGCCATGGCTGGAAGCGAGCCCCGCGGAGCCGGCTCCCCGCCGCCCGCCAGCGACTGGAGCCGCCTGGAGGCCGCCATCCTGAGCGGCTGGAGGACCTTCTGGCATGCGGTGGGCAAGGAGCGGGCGGCGCGGGCGGCGCCCCGGGAGGAGGCGGCGGAGGAGACCAGCGCACTGACGCGGCTGCCGGTGAGCCGAGACCGCAGGGCCGCGCACAGCCCCCTCCCCCGGGCCTGGGCCGCAGGGCGGCCACTTCCGGGTGTGTGCTGGCCTGGAAGGAGAGTGGCCAGCGTCGTCCTGACACGGACTCAGCGTGTCCCCCCTCCCAGCCAGCCAAGGCCGCCCCACAACCCACACTAGTGACCAGCACGATCACCCACAGACTGACAGTCGGCCCAGTAGGATTTCTGGAAAAGTGGCTAAGGAAAGGGGTGAGCTTGGGAAAGTAGTCTCAGAGTATTCATTCATTCCAGGTAGGGGATCGCCTGGAGCAAGTAAGTCTGCTTGCTATATCCTAAACAACAACACTGCCACGTAGTTGAAAATAAACGAAACTGAAAATAACCTCAAGTTAGAACAGGTCACAAAGAGAGTGCATGTTATTTGAAGTTTCAGAGAAAGATCAGAAAATGAAGGGATTAGACATTGTTGGTTATAACAGTTCTTTTTATCTCAGTTGAATTACTGGTACATCCCACTGACATTCATTCCAAATGAAAACACTCCAAGTTTCTCTCCTGTGTCCTTTGAAATGGATTAATAGACTATATAGAGAAATTCAGATGAGAGATTGACACGCTTTCATTTGATCTAGTAGTAAAATCAGAAAAAATTTCCACTAGATACACTTTTTTTTTGAGGAAAAAATTATTAAGTGATATATCAAAATATCTACGGGAAGAAAAATACAGAAGTGATTATCTTGCTTGAAAAGTAGAAACACAGAGCCTTGAGCTTTCAAGAATGTTTCATATGTGTTAGGAATTAAAATGTTGAGTTTTGATTATTCTCTGAAGGAAAGTAAAGTAAAATAAACTTAAGTAGTATAAAGAGTGACTGTTAATAAAGTTGTCTTGGGGTCAGAGCTATTAGCAAGCCATAGGAAAGCAGGGCAGTGGTGGCGTATGCTTGTAATCTCAGCACTTGGTAGGCAGAGCTAGGTAAGTCTCTGTGTGTTCAGGGATACAGCCAGAATTGGATACACATGCCTTTAATCTCAATACCAACCATAGAAAACCTGGAGGTCTATACAGGCTGTATACAGCCTTGGCGAGGCAGTCATGTGGTTGGGTTTACAGCCAATGAGAAGGCAGAACAGAAACTCTATATAAAGACTTTAACACAAGAAGTAGCTCTGGTTCGGAGAGGTAGGACCACCGCAGGAGGAAAGGTAAGGTTTTAGCTCTTAGCTCTGACCTCTTGGCTTTCTTCTTGCATTAGTTCTGTGTTTCTTATTTAATAAGATGGTTGATTACATCTACAAGTGACTCATTTAGTTGACCTTTAGTATAGCAATTCTTTGTGGATTATCTAAGTTATCACCAGTCTTCCAAGACAAATTATTCCTTTTTCTTCTGTGTCACGTGTTTCTGTTTCAGATCGATGTACAGCTGTATATTTTGTCATTTCTCTCTCCCCATGATCTGTGCCAGTTGGGAAGTACAGATCGGTACTGGAATAAAACCGTAAGAGACCCAATTCTCTGGAGGTATTTTCTGTTGCGGGACCTCCCTGCTTGGTCTTCCGTTGACTGGAAGTCACTTCCAGATCTAGAGATCTTAAAAAAGCCCATATCTGAGGTCACCGACAGCAAGTGTTTTGATTACATGGAGGTGTAAGTATAAATTTCTGTGAATTAACAAGAGATACTAAGTTTTACACCAAATAGTCCACATTAGTTCTGACTCTGCTACAAATTTGTTGCATGGAATTTGTCTGAATGGCCCCTTGATAAAATGATGGGTAGAACTAATTGACTTTTTTCATAAGACAGCTTTAACCCTTTGTTATTTTCCTATTGTGACTGACTAGTTTTCAATTCATTATATGTGGTACAATAGGCAAGAAAGTAGACATATTTCTTAACATTCTCATAACCTTTCTAATATTTCCCATTTTGTTAAATTGTAATGCCTTTTCATAATCAGAAGGAATGTCCAGAGATCAGAAAACAATTCTTTTTGGTAGGGAAGCAAACTATTTTTGAGAATCCAAGAAATAAGATCTTGTTATCCCCTCAAAACCTTGTTGTTTCTTGGGTGTCATGCCCATGAGAAAGTTATTTTCATTGAACAAATGCTGCATATTGGATTCTATGGGGATCTGTTCTGTGTATGTTAACTCCTGTACTTGTTTAACGTAAAGATTTTATCTTTGTGTTAAGGATGTAGAGGTTCAGATAGGATATATGATTTGCAAAGGATATATGATTTGGCACAGCGTGTAAGGGACTGTTCAATACTATCATGTTCCCTCAGAATGTGTCACTGTATGTAGGTAAAACCTACTTTATT